ACAGCAAAGGAGTGTGCAAATTTTTGGATTTAGGGTATAAAGTTCCGGTGATGAAGAGATCAGTGGTTGAGAAGAAGAAGATATGGGGGAAACTCGGCGAGGAAGAAAGAGCAGCCGTGCTTCTCATGGCGTTATCTTGCGGCTCTGTTTATGCCTAAAGCGAAGAAGAAAAGAAAAGCTTCTTCTTCGTATGGTTTTTTTTTTGGGTATCGTTACGGAATAATTAAGTAAGAGAGATTAATTAATTTAAATTAGTTAGAGATATATGTATGAATGTGTAAGTTCTAGTGACGTCGTTTTTTTTTCTTAGTACCACTAATGTTATGTGTTCATTGTCTTAATGAATTCAGGCAGAGAGCAATACAATTGATTGAAAGTGTGTTTTCACGATTTTTTATTTATTGCTCATAAATGCATTAATGAGAGTTGGTCGTAATTCCCACGCGCTTTTTTGATGCGCGTGGGCTTAATGCTTCGTGATTATTAGGCCCATGTAGCCCAGGAAATTGGGCCTTTCACGGCAATCAAGACGCGTGGTTTCTAGTTGTCTTGTCCCAATCAACTCTACTTTATTATTTGGTCCATTGACGTTTTTTTTTGAATTCACAGCTGATTACAAAATTCAAATTTTATTTAAAAAGTACTAAAACGGAGGGAGTAGCTGTTTGAGGATTTTACGACGATATGACTTTTAAAGTAGTATTTCCTCCGGTGACTTTTTTTTATTTTAAAATATAAATTGTTTTGACAATTATATGTATTTTTTAATTTTATTGAATATTGTGTGACCACTAATATTTTACAGTCTTTTGTATGATTGGTCAAATTATTTTTATTAAATATATTAATTAATACTTTTTATTAGAAACGTAATTTTTTAATATCCGTGTTTTTAACTAAAATAACTTATATTTTGAAATAGATAGAATATAAAAATAGTATACTGAGGTGGTAAGTCTAGTTACACATTGATTTGATCGTTGATATTCACATTTTGCACTTGTCAGGTTATAATAACTTGTAACACTTGTAACCTTGTAACTAGGCTTGGGAATTGGAACAAAGAGAAGTCTTAGAACCAAACTGAACCAAGATTTTTGGTTTTGATTCGATTACTTCAACCAAATCGACCAACATAAAATATTAAAATTCATTCAGTTCACAGTTCGGTTTTGGTTTGGCATCAGTGTGTTTTTGTTAACGAATTATACCAAGTTTTACAAAATGTTTTAAAATTTTCGAACCAAATATGAATTTCTTATATTTAACCGACTTTATCTGAATTC